AGTCTTGGGAAGGCACCTCTGGAGAGGATGCACCCTGACCAGCTGGAGGATGAAAGGCTTCATAGGATTGTGTCATAGAAAGAGGTCTAGGGCAGAGGATTTCAAAGAGCATAAGCTATACCAAGTCAGGATTTCTGTCTGGTTCATTACTCAGAGACTAGGACAGGGCTTGGCATATAGTAGGTGTTCAATAAATAGGTCCTAAAAGAAAGAAAGGAAGACAGAGGGGGAAAAAGGAAGGGGACAGGGAGGGATAGGAAGAGGAAATATGAGTCTGGGGTGTGTGAAATGGCTTGGTCATTCTGGGAACTGAAAGTGCAGTAGCTCCAGGTGGCTGTGGCCCCTTGGGTGGGGCTGAGTGGAGGGTGTGGCCTTATCTAATCCTGTTGTGGGTGGTGTCCAGTTTTTTATCTCCCCACAGGGCCCAGAGCTACTTAGGGGATGGGGTGGCTCCCCTCCCCAAGTTCCCTGGGACTCCTGGTGTGGTCCCTGACTGTCCACAGGACCGCAGGATCCTCTCGACCGTGTGGGTATAGACACACAGATGACTCACTCTGATCCTGCTCTCCAGTCTGGTGGGGGAGACGGACAACAAACACCAGGCTGCACAATGAGCAGAAGGCATGGAGAACTATGGGGGTGGGGTGGGTGCCAAGCAAATGAGACAAGCAGGGCGACAGAGGGGTGGGTTTTGCTCCAGGAGGAGAAGTAGGGAGATTTTCCCAGGGAGATGGCCCCAGAAGGGGTGTTAGTTTTAAAGACTGGTGAGAGCCTGGTGTGGTGGTGCAGCCTGCAGTCCCAGCACTCCGGAGGCTGAAGCAGCACTGCCACAGGTTCGAGGCCAGCCTGGGCTATGTAGTGAGTTCAAGGCCAGCCTGAACCACATAGTGAGACCCTTCCACCAAAAAAAAAATAAAAATAAAAATAAAAGAATGGTGAGAGAAAGGTGGGGTGTGAGGTGGTCTAGGCAAGGGGCATCACACTCATGGTGTGGGCCTGGGGACATGGGAATTGGGGGAGTCCAGCAGGGAGAGGTAGAGGGGGAACCTTGAATGCCACCCTTGGGTGCCTGGACTTGCTTGAGACCTGGCCACATTTCGGCTCATTGTGCCGGAGCTGCAGGATGGTCCTCCTGTCTCTGCCTGGCTCCTCCCAGCTTCCCCTTAAGCTCCACCAGGAACTCACCAACCCACGGGAGCCTCCGTCTATGTTCAGCCCAAAAATGGAGTGCCTGGCACAGGGTCCCCAACACTAGCCCTCTTTTTCCTCTCACATGGGCTCTGGAAGGAGGAACTAGTCCTTTTGTAAGGGATTGGGGAGAGAGAGAAGGGCAGAGAAAGAGAAAGGAGGGAATTTTTTGAAGTGGTAGTGGGGGTTGAATCCAGGACCTTTGCATTGAGCTACATCCCCAGCCCTTTGGATTTTTTTAAAATTTATTTTTATTTTTTTACTTTGAGCCATGGTCTTGCTAAGTCTGTAAGTTGCCCAGGCTGGACTTGAACTTGCAGCTCTCCTGCCTTAGCCTCACAGAGTGCTGGGATCACAAGCATGAACCACCACACCTGCCTAGAAGGGGAATTAGAATGTCATAGAACATCAGACTATGGAGATATTAAAAGATCTTTCTTTACCCTCCTTGCCATCTGATAGGCAAGGAAACCGAGGTGCAGATGGCCGTGCTTTGCAGCAGCCTGGACACTAGCAGGGCATGGACAGCCTGGGAGAGGATGGCCCATGAGGACAGCGCCTTCCCTCAGCCGGGACCCAGCCGTCCTGTCCATGAGCCTTTGCAGGCACAAGATGAGTCAGGAATCTTGTGAGTCAGTCTGTTGACAGCCATCCCTGGCCAGTCCTAGTCCATCAGGAATAGGAGGAAGTCCTGGGAAGGGTACTAGCAGGCCGATTTAATTAGTGCAGGCTCTCAGGTACCGTAAGTTAGCCCTATTAAATTAAAGCGCCTAGGGGAAAAAATAACTGTAATTATTTCCTTCTCTCCCCTATCGTTGTATTTCAACTCCCTTCCAACCTCCATGCTTTCCTCGTTGGCGAAACAACCTTTCAACCCAGAGCAGGCACACAGACTGCCCACAGCTCGGGTTCAGGGTGTTTCCCCTTTTTCTGTCTCTTTCCCTGTGAGCTCTGGGTGCATGGCAGAGAGCAGTGTGAATCCAGAAGTGTCTGCAGGGTCTGGCTGTATTCTAATTTAGGGAGGCTGTTACACTGAGGAGAACATTATTCCAAAAATGCACCCAGTCGCCTCCCTGAACCATTGCAGATCCTTTGGCTGCGGGGCGTTTCTTTTAAAAGCCCCCTTTTCTCTCTTCTACTGAACAAAATAAGCAAACTTTAATGTAGGGAATTATTGTTTATTTTCTTGAAATCTAGTTCGGAGTTTTTCTACTTGAAACGTGTTTTCCCCAGGACACTGACCTATCCTTTAATTGTTTGGTGCCAGGCATGTTAGGGGGAGGGGCGTCACTTGTTTATTGGAACAGCGCAGTTAAAAAAAAAAAAAAAAATCAACCTAGGCTAACAGTTTCAAGGCTCCCCTAAAGATGTATCCAAACAGGCAGCCAATCAGCGCTTACACAGCTTTTTCTGCTTGACTCTTTTAAAGAGACAGTACCAACTGTATTTATTCACGTTTGAAGAGAACCGCGCTTTAAAACAATCTGAAAATGGGGGAGCCTTCCCCTATTTCGCAGGTTTCTGGTCTTAAGAGTATCAAAAGAGGGCCACACAGCATGTTTTCAGGGCTCTCGGCGTGGGCAGAAAGGTGTCAGCAGCAAATAGCTGGGTCACTCTGCCAGCCCCCTCTCAATTTCCCATTGTACACCTGGGTCACTGACAATGGAACCTTCCCTTCCCCCACGGCCAACTCAAGTCCCCTACTCCTTAATTTAGCCGTATTTATTTGAAGTTTGCAGATTTCTGTGGAGCGCATTCTCAGCCGCGGGGCGCCCAACTGAGGTCCCCCGCCCCATCCCCGAACAGCACCCTTTCCCGGGTAGAAGCCGAGGGGCTAACTTGCTACGGCTGACAAATCTTAGAAATTCGAGAGAAGTCTTCCCTCCTCTCAGCTCAAGTCCCCCGTCCCCTCCCCCGGGGCTCCCCAAAGCACGCCAAGGGCCATTTTCGCGCGGCTCCACTTTGGGGTTTTCCAAAGTATTTTAACGATCTAGTAAAGGAGCAGCCGCGCGCCAGGCGGCTACTCGAGCCGCCCAGCTCCCAGCGTGTAGCCCCTGCCGGCGCTCGGGAGCCCGGCAGGGCGCGCGGAGGCCGGCGGGCCCGGGGAGGGAGGG